TATGACGTATATGGAATGGAATGCTCTTGTTTGTCACCTGCCCTGTCTATTACCCCCGAGAGGTGCAACCTTTTACTTCCTTGTGACCCCTCTTACTACCCGGCGCCCCCAGTGTGGCACACAAGAGCCAGCAGTGGCCTTGGTCACTATAGGAATAAGTATAAGCAAGAGCCGGTCTGCATCCCAGTCCCAGACAGTAACTGTACGCGTCAGGTGTTATCACTGCCTGTAGCACACACTGTCTGCAGAAACATGTTGCTGACTTCAGAAAGTGCAGCCTTTAGAAGAGACTGAACTGGAAAGTAAAAATCACTAAACAGGATGGGGTTTTTTTAGCTAAACTCAGGACATTGTGCATATAAGATTTCACTGCTGCTATTCAATTTGCATTGTTCAGGATATTAATTTAATTTTAGATGCTTTACCACTGCCAGGAAAAAAAAACAAGCTCTCTCTAAATTAAATTAGCTGAGTACAAAGCATCTAATGTGCAGCAAATGGAATTGCATTTTGCTTATATTCAACTAAGTTAACATTTAGATCTCTGAAAATTAAGAGGCATGTTATTCAACACACCACCAATATAAAGCATACTTAATAATGATATTTTGATTATGTTTCTCTAATTCAGGTCTGGCTGAATGACAACATGACAACAGTATTTGACAATGACAATAGCATTTGTCTGAGAACTAAAATCAGTTTTAAATAATGTTTACATTTATCCCTGTGTAAAAATATATTAAAGAGACACATCAATTCATTGTTGCATAAAATGATTTCCTCAGTTGAACCCTACTGATGAGCAAAGTCAGATCTTTCAAAATTTCTGTATGTGGTTAAGAAGAAGTTGAAATGTGAAAACATGCTGTTAAGCAGCACTGCACAGAAGGCAGTACTAGTTTGGATACCCGATTAGCACCATCAAATGGTGTAGAAAGGGACAAGTTTGTCTTCAAAGACAAGCATTGGCTCCCTGAGAGCAGCTTTGGGCTGGTGGGCTCTCGCCGCGCTGTGTCACCCTGTGGGTCCTGGCCGCCCAAGCCCAGCCTGACGCTGTGAGAGAGTCAACCTCATCCCCTGCACCAGCTTCCCACCTGCTACCGACAGGGAAGATGCGAGGGGAACCTGGAGGAGTGGGTTGGGTTGCAGATAAGGTGCGGTGCAACAGTGTGCCCAGCCCCAGGTTTGCAGAAGGAGGGCAGGAGTGACGGAACAGTTGGGACCACACCAAGTACTCAGAATGGGTCTGAGAGGAAAGGCATCACGTACTGACAACCAAATTGGAGAAAATTAGACCGAAAATTGTGTAGACTTGAACTGAAAGTCACAGTAATACGGGAAGAGGGGAAATAATTGTTCTTAGATATCCTGCTCAAGAACTGCGAAGTGCAGAGATGGCTTGGATGTGTGATTGAATTAAAAGGCTTGAGATAGAGGTAAAAGGTGATGCTGGGCTGAAGACACTGGAATGATCCTGATTGTAGGATTGATGCTGGGAAGGGCACACATCTGCCCTGGTTTGTTATAACACATGCTACTTATCACTAGGGGAAAACAGGGAATGAAAATTATTGCTAGTACTAAAACTATGACTCTTGTGAAACTTCCAATTAAGCACAGTTGTGCCTGATTCTGATTTGGTTGGGGTACCTGAGCTGCTGAAGCATTGGCTGGATTCTTGAACACATTCTTATTCTGAACATGAACTTGCACATAAAGAAACAACCATCTGATAACTGGTGGAAACCGATGCCGTGAATAGCCAAAATCAGGACTCAACAGCCTGGGTGACTATAAGCAGGTATTCTTTATTGCAGCACTGGACGCACAGCAGATCGCTCTGCCTAATGTGCGTGCCACAGAGTCGGATGCATAGCTTATATGCAGGTTACACATATATAGTCATGATATTTCTGAGAAATGATTAACATATGTCACACTCACTCCTGCATGGGCATTATAGTCTCTTGGTGGGCTTCAGAGATAGCTGGTGGTCGTTTACTTCATCCTCTTCTTCATCACAATATTCTTTTGGTGAACTATAGCCTGTACTCCCTTGTTCTTGCTGACAGGCAATGTCTGCAGTCTTGAGGCACCCTGTGCCTGTTTATCTCACAGTAGCCTTGCATTCCGTTCTCGGAGATAAGTCCCACTCAAAGCATTACAATGTGCGGACGGACCCATCTCACAACGCAACCATTACACTGTTCATTGCTGCTGCTCGTTAGAAGGCTTTTAGCTGGTAAATTTCCAGCAGGCCCTTGCTTCATTCCTCTCTTTTTCTTTGCCATTGCAAATTCTATAACAGGAATCGAAATCTAAAATGGGAAATCTAGAATGGAAATTCTAAAATAGGATGGAAATCCTTTTCAAGGGTCTGAGCAAAACATTTTCCCGTTTCCACCTGATACCTAATCTTATTCCTTTTCCAGTCACTATATGTTTCCACTGAATTCTGACAGCATTTGAAAAACATATAAACAAATAATCCTAAAATTAACAGAATAATCAAGCTGATGAATAGTTGTTTTAACCAATTAAAATTAGGAAGCCAAGAAGTCAGCATATCCCATAAATCTGTAAAAGCCCCTTCCGTATTGTCCTTAGCAATTTTGTGGAAAATCTTAGTCTTTCCCCATATTTTAGGCAAGTCTTCTTCAATTTGCCCTTCTCAGTTAATATAGCTGCAACAGCTCTGATTAATTTCTGTGCACACTCCTCCCACTTCTGCAGTCAGTATGTCTAGGACCATTTTATTCAGTGCTACTACTTGCGACAGGGAAGTGATTTTGACTTGCATATTAGCAACAGCATTCGTAGAAGCATTAAGTATTTCATTTAAGGTAGCCAAAATATTCACAATTGCCTTTTCCAATTTACTAACCCCTAGCACAGGGAATAACCCTTGTACAAAACTACGCAATCTAGAGGGTCGTTGTATTAAGGGATTTAAGGTTCGTTTTTTTCATTCATTTTCAACAATAAACTTCTCAAAAATCCTGGGGGGTTATATAGAGTGTCCTGTGGGGTTATATAGAGTGTCCTGGGTGGTTAGATGTCCTCCTGTACACACGCCATCTAAACCAGATGCCATACAGCAGGACAAGAGGGAAAGTGACATACAAATCCAATTCCAACATAAGGTGGTGGAGGAATGTATCAGTTGGAATTAAGTAGAAGCATAGAATCATAGAATGGCCTAGGCTGGAAGGGAGCTTAGAGATCATCTAGTCCAACCTCCCTGTCATGGGCAGGGACGCCACCTCTCGACTAGACCAGGCAACACATGGGGACCGAGCGGGAATCGAACCCACGACCTCGACCGCGACCTCGGTATTGTCATTGTTGTCAGCACCGCGCTCAACCCAATGAGCTAACCGGCCCCCAAAGTAATAGTGGCTAAGACAATCTCAGGTGCAACTTCCTAAGTAATTGATTTCGCTGTTTCGAACCCAAATAGAAACCGAAAGCCAGAACAAAAATCAATTAAAATCTAACAAAGCCATAAATTTGACAGGAAACAGAACATTTTGGTTTTGAATATAGTAACTGTTTCTGAATTGAAATAAATTTAGTAATGCAACATCCTGTCAAAAATTTAAGCAAATTGGGTTTTGTTCTTTGAGTTTTTGCTTTTGTGGCTGAAATGATCTAAGGAAACATCCACTGTATTGTGCTTGCTTTTAAAGTATTCTGATAAAATCCAAACGTTAATATTTTCTGGATATTATTTTGATTGCTGCAAGACCTCTATTTAGCTTTTTCACAAAGCTTCTTTTATCAGGTCAGCCAGTCTCCTGAAGGCCTGCAATGACACAAATATGGTTCACATTTATATGCCAACATTACTTAAATAGGCAACACATCAAACCTGTAAAACTACTAAAACTACCCTAGCCCTATACAAACTCAGTATTTTACACTGCCAAATTCTGCTGATATTTTCTGTCTTCCTCTTATACCAACAGGTACGGGCTTTGACTGGACAAAGCTTCCACTTCTCTGCTGGAAAAATAAAAGGCAAAGTTTTCTGAAACGGAAAAATACATGTATTCCTGTTCAAAGGTTATTCGGAGTTCAGATGCAACTAAACAGTTGTAATTTTAATAGAACTAGTGATCCCTGGAAAAATATCTCTTTTAACTTAATATAAGGGCCTAGAGGAAAGAAAAGGAAGAACAGCTGAGTGAAGAAGCATATAAAAGACACAAATTGATTGTCAATAGTACGGTTATCAATTACTTGTACAAAGAAGAAGGAAGAAATAGAAGAAATGCGGAAGAAATAGAAAGGCAATAGAAATGTTTATGTTACAAACCTTCACAACTGAACGGAAGTACAACTACAAATACTGAACTGTTTCAAGTACCTGAATCAAATGAGTATTAAATCTGCACAAATAAGTGTCTCCTACCTATCCTTCCACTAACTTTACAGATACAGCCAAATACCTTCCAAAATGTTCCCATAATACATAGATGATTAGTTCTTGAGAAATGAAATACAACATGTATGTCAATTGTATGACAGAAAAATAATACTCTTTCTTATAAAGGACTGACAATGCACACAAACAAAAGAAAACACACAATTCAATCTCAGAAATGGAAAGTCTGGAAAATAAAAGCTATGCGATGCTTGCCAATGCTAAAGCAAACAGCAACACTCTGACTTCAGTAAAGCCTTTATGAATAATGTCTGAGATGATTAAGTGTAAGATTCTACATGTATGAGATACACAGAAATACTTTAAGTGGTCCTAAAAATTTGGTACCTTTTGGGTCATTTGGATATGAGCACCTTGCCTAAGAAACAGCTAATATTGCTTCAAAATTACTGCTTAATCACCTCAGTACTTAAAAAATCTACGCTAATATTCAAGAAAACACTTAAGAAGTAAGTAAAAATAACGAAGCATTATTATGTGAGAAACTGTCTTTATAAGAATGTAAAAAAACCCCCAAAATACCTCACTTACCAGATCCATCTGGGCTGGAGAAGACAGAGAGAAGGAGGCTCTGACATAAGGACTAGGCTCTGAACTATCAATATTGAATGCTTCTCCAGGAACCAGTAACACCTAAGAAAAATTGATTAGTTGTCCAGTTATCACCACTTCTACAGTTTCAAAGCACTATGTTAAATTAAATTGGAGAAGGCTTACTGCTGAAACACTGCTATCAGAACATGGCGTAATATATTTCTTCTCTTCAAAATGCGAAGCCAAAAATATGCAACCTTTTCATAACAAAATCAAAGGGCTCTTAGGTTCTGGTTATGTAGGCCGGTGGGTTACCAGGTTGGGCTTATCATCACAACATTTAGAAGCACCAGTGAGATTGGATGTTGTTTACTCAGTACACAGTGTTGGCTCTTATAAATAATTGTAAAACTCGCAATCTCTTACAAAAAAGATACAGTGAGCAGCCATTGTTCATATAGGCACATATATGAATATATTGCACTACATATTGTAATGGCTTAAATTTAACTACACTGATTAAATATCAACATCCTAATACAGACATGAATATCTTTTATTAATGAGTCATTAGGACACAATGCCTGATTTGCAGACTCAGTGACGGTGCCCAACAAATTCCTCTGCTTTTTATTTGTGCGCATTATGTGTGGATAGATACGGTAAACTTATTTTATCCTTCCCTCATTTCATTTCAACATCAGCCATTAAACCATAGGTCATACTTCTTTCTGCAAAGCTTTTTCCATGATCAGCTGCTGTGTATCAGAAACGCCCTTGATTTTGATCCATAAGAACATGCCAGCAGCAGGAGGGTGCCACTCAGCCAAGTCTGGAAGAGGGAGAAAAGAAGGGAATCAATAAAGAACTTCTGTCCCGCCTTTAACTGACACATCATAGACTCAGTGATGTTGTAGGTTTGTGGCTCCAGTGGACTCAAAGGCAATGTAGGACACGGAGCCAGGATGCCACTTGCCAATTTTTAAGTAGTGCACTTGGGCGGGTACCCTCTATACTCTGTGAAAGTCATTGCTCTGAATCACAGAAATCTCAAACATTAATGAGCTATATTTGTTGATTTCTTTCAGATCACATAAATGATCTAAAATAATTTTTCTGATGCAGTTTCTCTTAATATCACGTTGACTATCAATACAGTTTACAATTAGCAAAGCACAAAACTGTTTTCCTTTAAATTAACAACGATCACCATTTTTTCCCCACAGAAAAGGAGAGCCCAGGAGTTATGAGGAGGATGAGAAGCCTTAGAGAGAATTTATGTCTCAAATTGTATTTGCAGACTACTGTATACCTTTTGTTTGCCTAGAATTCTTTATCTGGTTTTGGACATATTTTTTAAGAAACTATTTATCTGACTTAACATCTTCTCCCGTTCTTCCTTGATGTCTTCAACCATTATACATCTACAAAGTAAAGGTCTGTCTTCCATAATATTATGCCTCCTATTACTAGAAAACATGAAGACCCCCTTGTCTTTTACATGAGTACATTCTCAGAATACAGTGACAGACCAGTGTATTTAGAACAGTGTTTATAGTACAGTGGTAGACCAGTGTTATTACACTGTTTTGATATGTGGGGAACTGAGACAAAGAGAGCCTACCTAGGTCAACAACCCACGGCTGTTCGGAGCTATGTAGAAGAAAAATAAATACTTCATACCTAAAAACCTGGAATTAGTAAGAGTAGCACATCAATGGTTATGGCGTGTCCAGGTACCCACATCCTTTGAAGCATCATCTAAGGTAGGTGGGCAGTTCTTAAGCAGTTATTGCAGATTCCACTCAGACTCACTAAAAGGAACGAGTCACTAACTGCAATTGCATTATTGTTGATCAAATTCTTTCTGTGCTCAGGGATTAACCTCCAAAGGGGATATTTGAAATTGATTTCTGTACTACTGTTATATCGATTGCTTGTATCTTCTTTTAAATTAAGACCACTAAATCTGGCTATTTCAGACAGATTTTAAAGGCAGAGATTTTAAACATAAGTATAAGAACATAGTGGAGTGAAATATACGCTGTTGTAAAACTGCTTTATACAGTAACGTGGTGAGCTTTTTTCTCATCACCATCCCCTTGTCCCACCAGAAAAGCATGAAAACAGCAGCACTAAATAATTTGTCCTAAGCTTAATATTTAATGTCATTGATTTGCTTATAGTGCTTATCTGTCGCTTCAGTCAAGAAATGAACTTTAGTGATTTTTCTTGAACACAAAGATGGTAAATAGCTAGGAAAAAAAAAAGTGATTAGCTATGTTGCACTCAACTGACCTTTTAACCATCTGTCAGCAGCAATGAGCATTGCATCTCGCTGGGTTCTATAGAAGTCCACCACTCTGAAAGTAAATTACCAATTCAAAGTCATGATCTCATAGAGTTTGAGTCCCTTTGTTTCCAAAGGCAGAAACAAAGCTTTTCTACTTGAACAACCTAAATGCACATTTAATGGAAATATGAGCATATCCCAAATGGGCACATTTGAATATACCGTGTGTATAAAACTTTGCTTATGTACTAGAGAAGTCCTGAATACTTCAGCATATCTCCAAGAGGGCACTGATCAACCAGACAGAGAAGTGCCTATGTAGCTGCTTCTTAAGGTGTGCATGCCATAGAAAGTGTATGTGTTATATCCATTCTTTCTATTATATCAGTAGGTACAAGTCCTGTCAGCAATATTTACCACACAAAACAGGCATACTGAGGAAAATTAAGGACTTAGACATATGAGAAAGCACCAACCCAGTATCTGTGCATTTGGGTTGAATTTGTATAATAGGTACACATGGAAATGTCATTTCACAAGGTAAAAAGCAAATAATATGACAGACCTGTCATGATTATTTGATGGCTTCCCCTTTTCTAAACTTTTGAACCTATCTCCTTCACCCTTTAAGCAAAACTTCCAAATAATTCAATCTCTTACTGGGGAAAATGACCCTAGCACAAGTTTCAACATGGACAAGTCTTGTGCAGTGGCTTTTGTTGACATACAGTGAGACAGCTGTGCATCGGGAAACACAAGAGAAATGCCTGATACAGAGTTCATAAATGAGATGCAAATGTGTTTTCATCTCTGTAGAGAAAACCTACTTAGCAATTTGCATGAATTTTACATTTAGATTTTTTTTTATACATTCTCTGAACCAAGAGCTTTGATTTCTGGATGTATTTTATTACACCTGATAGACAAACATCACCATCACTAAAGGCTTATGTAGTTTTGGGACTCGCCCTATACCATGCTACATTCTGCATGAAATTGTAAATCTCACATATGCAGATTTTACCACATCACAAATTCTGTTGCAAGTTTTTGCCTTTTCGTTATCATTTTACTTTAATGTTAGAATGAAATTGCATTATTAAGTCAAGACTACCACAAAAATGTAGCTGTTTCAAACAACAGGCTACCTTCTACTTAAAAGCATGATCTAACAAGTCAACCTTGTCCAAATGAAATCACCTGGAAGAGACTTCAGTCAGCTGTTGGGCCTCATTAATAAATCACCTGAGAACTAGTCTAGAAGGTTATAAAGGGTTGCAGCTACCCTATTGTAGCACTGCTTTTGTTGGCTTAAGAGGATGAACAGCTTTCTGGCTTGAGCAAGGACACCTTTTCGGCCTACAAGAAAAAGGTAAGCAAAAAAATGCATTTAGAGTATATTTTTCAAATTGCTGGAAGTTGAGCTGAAGCATGGTCCAAGTTTCCCTGCAAAACCTGTCTTTATGTTCCTAGTTCTTAAACCAAGGGCTGGTCTGTCTGCATTATTATTTATTTTTTAAATACTAGTGTTTATAGTATGGACAACAGACAGGTATTCAGGGGATAGAAGTGGCTGTTAAAGTGCAATATAGAACTTTTTCCATGCTTTGCTCACTTGGCTCACATTTCTGGTACAGGCAGGCTCCCTTTGCTCACGTTTCTGGTATAGGTACTCCCACTGAAGTAGCAAACTTGGGGTTTGAATGGCATCTGAAATGAAGCACCGATACTCAAGAGAGACTATGCCCCTCCAGCACAATAAATGAAAACTAAATGTGTGTCAGAGTGTAAGAAATGCCTTGCTGGGTTAGATCTTAGCCCAGCGCTCTGTCTCCAAGAATGGCGATAAAGGCAATGTTTAGAGTGTAGGTGAATCTCACTGCTCTCTGTAGGTCTTTGTATAAGCATCCACAGTTGTTAGATTAAGGATTTTTAGAGGGCGAGTTGCTGCTGAGTTTGTGAGGCAGGAGAACTCCCTTTATAGAAGCTCTGCTGACTCTTTCTCCATAGCTTTTGTGCTCAGTGATATTAGTGATATTGCTATAGACATTACCATTTTAGCAGGGATGGAAACTTTATTCACTGACTTGGAGCTCCCGGGATCTTTCTGAGCTCCCTTCAGATGGGAGCTGCACAATGTGCCAGCGCACAGGCAGACTGTCAGTCTGTAGAGGTAGGTTACGTGCCCTGACTTGCACATCTGCAACTGCCCACTGAGCTTCTTTAGGACTCTTGTGGGAACACTGTCAGTTGTGGTGGCCTGACTTATCCATTTGGCCTGATGCTGGTGCACCTCCTCTGACTTGTTTACTGCAAAGAACGTTTTTAGTAGGTAACAAGAAGCACCATGACAGATGATGAGAATCAGCATGACATAACCCTACCTGTCTATATGCTCCAAGAAACCCTTTTCTCCCCATTGCTGAAGCAGCTGTGATATCATAATCTGAAGAAATAGAACACATTATCAATACTGTATTTTAAACAGGACTGCTCTGCATTCGTCAAAAGATATGTAGCCTGATTTAAAATTCCACCTAGGCAAGAAATTGCATGTGGGGTCTCTTGGAGCCCTTTATAAACAGAGGTGGGAACAGCAGCAGACCATTGCAGTCTGTTAGTGCTGTCTCCAAGGATCATGGCAGTGTTTGGAAGTTGGGGTGAGGGGAAGTAAAAATGGATGGAGAGCTAAACACAGTAATTGGACAGAAAAAGGAAGGTGACACTGCTTTCTTCCTGCCCATATCTTCCTGCCCTCTCTGCTTTAATACTGCACCTATGATGAACTAATGGAGCTGAAAGATAGAAGCTGTATTTAGATGTGCTCAGTGTCTTGTCTCTCTTATTACTAAGCATAAGGGGGATGCAGTTGACAGGCTGCTTCGCAATATCTTTGTGGACTGACAGTATTTTTCTAATTATAGAAAAACACTAAGTGCTTCTTCCAATGTATGCTTTACATTGAGGTGTTTCAAGTGAAACTACTAGTAAGAGATATAAGGTATTTTAAACCTTACTTTTTGAAATCTGAGGGTTAAGGGCATATTAACTGTGCTTTCCATGCACTGACACCCTCTAGCTCTGGTTTTAATTTCTATGGTGGTCTCTCTTCCTTTGGCAGAATTGACAATGTATGTGCTAATTAAAAACCGAAGTGCAGAATGTCTGTGAAAGTGCAAAGCTGTTCTTTGTGTTTTCTTGTGTCTCGGAATACATTATCTTTTCTAAATACAATTCAGTTGGCAGTTTGGTACTTGCCTGTGTGAAAGTGCTGGTGTGCATTGTTGAAACCTGAATGTGGAGAACAACTCTGTCGATAAGAGGCTTGGGACCTGTCAGAAAACCTATTCTTAACCTGGGGGGGGAAAAAAGGCAAAAAGTTATTACAGAAATGCAATGTGCCAATACTTTCTGTGAGTTATGGTTACACTTATAACTGGGAAAACATGTAATCATTTCATTGATATTGTAAGGATCTTCTATGCATTTATCTCTCTCTTAATGCTGCCCTAGGCCCCAAGCTTATACAATTTATGAGCTGAGTATCAAAGTCATGAAATAAAAACATTTAAAGGTTTTAACGCTTATAGTAGCTTCTTAGTTCAGAACATATCTCACGTTTATAAGCTTTCCTCTGCTACTGTAAAGATTACATGAATCAAAGTGAAAGAAAAGATAGGTTTTCACGTAATGAAAACTCAAGAATGCTGAGGCTTTTAGAAACAGATAGGAAGTGGCAAACAGCTTTATTCTTTCTCTCCTTTTCAGTACTGCAGAATAAATGGAATTTAGCCTGATAAACTAGATCCTTATTCAAACCTCAGTTATTATGGCCCATCTTTACAGACCAGCTGAAGATTTTTCTTTGAAGAAAAATAGATCCAGTAAGCTCATATGTGTCTTTGACAAAGATAAAATTGCATCATGCCTTTATGCAGTGTCACTTCAGAAAGTGTAATCACACTTAGCATCATGCTATGTCCTTACTTTCTCAGGGATGGGGTTATAATCCGCTAGCTGCCAGTGCTGAGTTCACATTACTTTCTTCTATCTATTAGGATAATAAAATCAAGATAAAATATGTTGACTTGTGAGAAATGGAAAACAACGACCTTAGCTTTTCAGGCAGATGCAAACTACCTAAAAGAACTTTAAGGCTAGAAATTGAGAGATCACTATAATGTTATAAATAGTTTGTGAAGTATGATGCCATCATTTCTGTTCTGTACTACAAGTTCAGGGAGTCTGCAGGAATGGTAAGGGATAGGAGAAATGGAAGAGAGAAGAGCTCTAGGAGCTCCACGAACAGAGCTGGAATCCAGCATCTTTCTGCCTAGACGGTGTCTGCAAGAACAGGCTGCTTGGGGAGAGTGGCTTAACTACCAATATCAGAAGAGAAACAGAATTTGGAGTTAAATGACTGCCAAGAGATGACATAAGTGAGCAGACTGAGAAAAGCTATGGATCCAAAGGTATGTTCCCAAAATGGATAGAAATTAGATGAAAAAATAGGGATACATTTAATCATTTTGTATGAAGTATTAGCCTTGTGCCTTAACTGAACAGGCAGTGCTGAGCAGTCTGAAGCTGGCCTTACCCAGATGAGAGAATTTTAGAGAAAGAGTCTGTCCTGATAACTCGGCCATCCACATCCATTGAGAGGAAAGATGGAGCCCATGGCTTGGAACAAAAATAAAAAATATTTAAGGTGCTAGTAGGGATTATGATGGAATTATTTTATTTAATATGAAGACATACAAAATTTCTTAAAGAAATATTTCAGTAAAACAAATACTTCACAGATGTGCATTTCAAGGAAAAAATCCAGTAACTTGCTGATAAATGACGTAGACTAGCTGTCTGAGATGTGATTACAATATTCTATGAAAGTCATCAAATCAGCCTTTTTTGTTGGTGCTTTGCCCACTGTTGAGCATACAAGTGTTCAGTTAAAATTTTGGTATGATGCCATCAGTAGGAGACAGAAATATGATTTCACTGCCATGATTTTTTTATGGAGTAAACATACACTGTAATTTCTAAGACGAGATCTTGTAGCTTTTAGCTTCATCTTAAAATCAGAAGATATGATAATCTGAGTTCAACACACTTTATCCTTATTAAGAATTCTACTTTTACACTTTCTCCCCTTATATTTGTTAACAAAGCTACACAGTGCTATTCATAAGTGAAACAGTTTTACTGCCTCCTGCCACAGAAAACACAAAATATAAAAATATAGAACTTCAGTTTCTACCACTGTTTTACTGCTTTGTAAGACCAGCCGTTATTCCTGAAGTTAGGTAATTTTGCAGACTGTGCAGCTGTAGATCCATGTGTGAAGACCGGTCAACACTTGTTAACCATTTGGGGAAAACTTCCATGAAGGAGGAAAGCTGCCTATCCAGCACTACTTCCTTCGCTCTCTGGGAGAGCTCTCTCAAATTCTCCAAAAGGCAAAGGGGTAAAAATGGGACTGGGAGTAGGCAGTCTTCCACTGAATGAAATAAGACTGGGCTGGAAGGAACTAGGCTGCTATTTTCAAGTGCTGCTTCTATGGCATACTTGTTTTGCTCTGGAGGCTAAGTCTTTGCTATTTTCCGATTACTGAAGGAAATTGTCCTGTATAAAGCTTGAGGAGTTTGAACCACTGCTTGGCAGGACTGACGCAATAAAATACCACAAAGGGGACAGCACCTGAAAGTAGCACAGACTGTGTAGGTGTGAGGCCTACAACTACTTTGGTAGGACATGAAGAAGTGTGTAGAAAGATCCATGGCTCAAACCTTAGCTTTCTCCTGGACCAGAAAAGGTGTTGCTAAGGAGTATGGAAAACAAATTACCTTTTCAAACTGAAGGAAGTAGTAAGGATCGTCTTCTATAATGAGGAAATCATATTTTCTTGCAAGCTAAAGAAACGAATAAAAAGTAAAGATTTGTTAAAATGTAAAGACACTAAATTCAGTTCTTCCTGTATCTTGGGCCTATTCCAGGACCATACTATGATCCCATGGATTGCACATTGCCTATAGATAAAGCTCTATCAAGCTCAGTCGATGTGCCAACTAAGACATCAAGCAATTGCAAGATAAAACATGGTACCTGCAGTACAAGGACACATGTAGAAGGTGTGTTCCATGTAGTGTTCAAACTGTGCAGAAAATCTGCAGAAAGTCTAGTTTGAAGCCCATGGCAAAGATACAGCCAGAAATGGGCTACTAGTGGAAAAACAGTTTATCTAATACAGAAGAGTTGTCATCAAAGAGCTTCTGCTAGAAACAAGCTCTAGGAGAAGAGTCTACTGGACCACTAATAGGCCCAAATACCAGACATGGGGTATCCTCAACTCAGATGAGACCACCAATTACCCATTTCCACCTACAAGGTTCACAAGGCCCCAGCTACACACCTGGTAAATCTCCTTCTTGCGCTCCGCGGTCAGAGAGTTTCCAGTTGGGTTGCACCCATTTGGAATGGTGTACAGAAACTTGGGGAGGTGGTGGCTATGATTTTTCACATCTTCTGTGCTCCAGTTAGATAGAATTTCTTTTAGAGCTTTTGGAACAATGCCGTGTTGGTCACTAGGAATATTAATTATGTTACAACCCAAAGGTCTCAGCTGTTGATAAGAGGAACAAAACTGTCATAATCTTGTAATTCAAAGGTCTTCCTTTTGTCACTGGCACTGTATAATTTCACTGATACAAAGTCTTTCTGACTTCATAGCTCTAATCTCAAACTCCATTTGCCCATGGTTCAAAAAGAACTTTGCCTGAATTTACTGTGAAGCTGGTCAAACTTAGCACATTGCTCTATGTGCCCTGTTAAGCCAAACGAGAAGAAATGGATAGCTCCTATGTTTATCTGCTGCTCGTCTCTAGGAAATCACACACGGTTTTGCAAGCAGAAAGGGATTTTCTGAATTTCAGCTATGTTGTCTCAGGACTCCTCATGCTCTCACCACAGATAATAATTTCATAGCACCTTTGTTCCTACTGACAACTTACACTCCAGTGAAAGTGCCAGAACTATAAGCTACTCTTCACTGACAAAGTGCAAGGAATCTGTTCTCAACAGATATATTCAGCGATGCAATGGAGAATGAAATAATGTTACTGCAATGACATGCTGACAGCAGTATGAAAAAATAAGAGGTAAAATACAAGCAAGCAAGCAAGTTTCTCACCTCTGTGGAATTCCAATTTGTACTGTGTAGTGCTCTGCATTTTTAAATAAAAATGCAAGTTGCTGCATTGTCAAAATAGTTCTAACAAAGCAGATTTTATTAGACAACATATATGCAAACTTAGCACAACGAACAGTAACAAAATTCCTTTTGATACAAGGGGAGACTAGACTGAAATTGTGGTGAATTATCTATTTAGCCCTTCTTACAGTTCTTTTGCATTTTGAGCTGACATTTTATTACATACTGATTAAGTTACTTCTCAGAAATAAACTTAGCTATTATTGTACAGTTCTTACTAATTCACATCTTAATGCTTACATCTTCATGGATATTTCAAGCCTATTCCAATTTTACGCTATTTTTATCTATAGTATGCTCAGACCATGAAATACTTCAGATGAATGTACTGACACATTTTTAAATACCCACTGGTTATAAATTTGCTTCAATCTAACGAGGTTGTGATGGCTTTCTAATCCCAAATGTTACCTTAGCCCTTGAATGAACTAGCATTTGGAGGAAGAGCTTCTGTCCTGGGAATAGCTCTTACAGAACTTTTAGCAGAAAAGGCTCTATGAATAGGTATTTATGAAATTAACTGGACTAATGCTAAAATCTCTACTCTTAGATATGTTTTGTTTTTTCTCTTTTCAGTAAATACGGACAGTGTATACAAGCCTGCAGATCAGGCACTAAGTTGCTGTATATTACAAATGTAACATTCACAATGTTTTGTAGCTAATGAATACTTACAGCTGCTAGTGTCCCAGCATATGTAGGTGCATCCAAAAGGATGTTGTCCCCAGGATTGATGAGCATTTCAAACACCTGTGAAAGAAAAGAGTCTGTTTTAGAAAGGTTGTGTGATTCTTGTGCATGTGCTTCATACTTCTGACTACTTAGTGGGTTTAAAATCCTTGATATTAGTAAATCCCTAATAATTTAAGTATGCTGTCTGTGAAGAACCTGCTTTAGAGCCAAATGAAGTTAGGTAATTGCCTAGAGAACACTGATTTGAAATGGGAAGACAGTGCTCTATTATAAAATAGAAACAAGTGCTTCAGTTACAGAAAGGATCAACTAAGCAGCAGTGACAGTGGACTGGAAAGGGTAATTACTTAAGGAAGTCTAACATAATTAGAATTGAGTTATGGCAAAGCAAATAATGCACCTCTGTACTTATTACTGCACTATTTGACTAATATGAAATGTTGTCTTATAGCATATTTTCTGACAGGCTCTTTGGTTCACCCGAACACTCATGCAGTCCTGACAGATTACACTCCCATGCTTGCTTCAGTTCTATTATCTTTTATTTTGTATCGATAATACTGTGAGACATACGTTTAATGAAGTACCCTGCATACCATTACACAGTGGCACTTAAAGCTGAGTAAAAGTGAACTGATGCAAGAATAAGTATCTCGGAATGAAATGCTTTTAACATATGAAGCTTTGGGTCTTACTTTACACAAGCCCTCCTGGCTGCCGGTTGTGACACACACTGCCATTTGTCCTTGCTCAGGACTGTAGTTGGCTGTGGGAGGATTATGTAGACTCTGCTGGAAATTCTTTAGCCAAGACAAGAGCTCTGGAATCCTGAAATGTGAATAAAATACATTTTATCTCCGGTCCTCCACAGGCTGAAGATAGGCTATAACCAATCACTGCAAAATCCAGCACACAGTCTCCAAGTCTGATTTCAGCTGTCGCAGAGATACACTGAGATGCTGATTCTATGACTGCTTTATTAAATGATGAAAACAAGAGAAATGCTTCTTATGGAAAAGCAGAAGAGATAGGCATTTGTAGTATGTACACCACACTGGAATCTGTGAGAAAATGATTTACCAGGGATGGAATAGAGTTGGAGGCTGAACAATATCCACTCCTAGGAGTGATCTTTCCATACTCAAATGTGACAAACTCACAAAACTGCTAGTATTTCTGAAAAAAATGGCTTAACATATTTTAGGATGTTCACAGATGGCTGGGTTCATTTAAATATTAAGAAAACTCTTAACTTGACTGACTAATGCCCTATGTGCCTCTGTAGGTACCTAAATGTTTTTGAAAACCTGTCACAAGCCTGGCTCACTGCTGTCTGCTGGGGAGTTCATGTGAGTGCTAAAGTAACTTAATAATATGCAATTTTTGTACTAAAAATGACAATATTAAAAACACCTCCAACTACTGCAAGTACTACATACTGACTTTTGTATATGGCACCAAAAATGAAAGCAAAACAAATACTCCAGAATGTGGAAACTGCATCTCTCAATGAGTAACTTGTTGCAAAATACAAAATGATTCCTCCTCGGGATCTCCGAGTCTGGATTCTCAAATACTCCAGGAAATGCCCTGGCTTGAGAATTACTAGTATGAGGCTTTTTTTTTTTCTTTAATTACTCATCTGTTCAAAACTTTCCACTTAAACCAACATGTAAATAATGCAGCAAACTGAATGTTAAACCTGTTTCTGTCAAACAGGATTTAGAACCACTGGTGAATTAATGCAATAAATGATTCTATGACCCCTTGATCCTGATATCTTGAAGTGCAAACAGCTCTGACAGATACCCTGCTGAGGCCGAGTACTGGAGAGCTCTCTTCATCAGATCATCCTCAATCTCAATTGCAGTTCCATGTCCAATGGTGATAGTAGCCCTCTTAAATGGAAAAACGTTAGGGTTTGGTGCCCCGCCAGCCAGAGAGATGAGAGATGGAGGAGACTTCTGCATCAGTTCAGCTGGAGTAAAAGGAAAATATCTTAGTTACAATTTGATTGCAACACTGATCATATCCTTTAGTAATAATGGTCCAGAGAAACTTGTTTCACTTTTCACTTTTTTATTCTTTTAAGTTGTCGTGACTTCAAAAGGATGATAATTCTTCTTAAACTCACCTTTCTATTTGGATTAAGTAGGTGTTGGGGGTGGGGAGGGTGATGTGGGCAGGACTAACCAAAACAAAAAAATCATCCTTGTTTTAACACCAATTATAAATAGCTTTATCTTAGAACCTTATCTGGACTGTTCTACTGTTATAAAAACTTCTTCTGTGACTGATGTCTTTTAACCTTCAAGAACTTAAAATTGTAATGATTTTCTGTTTAGACTAATGTGGAAGTATTGGCTTTGTTTTTTGTTCAGTCTTGCTTCAGGTGATGTGGCAGTAGTAGTGTGGTTACACTGATGGTTACATATACGATTACAACTCTGCCAGAAGGGAGTGGGAGTGTTTCTGGCAGCCCAGCTTTAGTGGCAGAGGCACTGAGTAAATAATGCAGTATGAAGAAATTGTTAACAACTCTTGGTTTAAAGTCACAGTTTCACAATCATTCAGATCCAATCTATGCAGTGCAAACTGGACCTTAATTCAGCAAAAGCACTTGAATGCATTAAATCTAAGAGCTCATGATATGGCATCTGTGCTGGCTTGACAGCTTTACATCAGATATGAGAGGACAGAGGACTACAGATGATGCCAGATATGGCTTGAAGCCTCCTGTTGCTGAACTGATGCTCCACTACTTATTAGCAAATTTGAGCACAGGGAGTTAATTCTTATCAGTTCAGCAACATGGTTCATGTCTGTGACTTTTGGTCTGGTAGAGACTCTGTCATCAAAACTGCAGCCTCAGTGTGTCTTTCAGCACAAGCTGTGCCAGTTAATATTTGCGTTCCGATGCGCATCAGTGTACCACTGGAAAAAGTACAGAGACTGACTAGTGTGAATTAGTTGAGTCAGCTGTACCTATATGAAGCATTTTAAGCAGAACAGCAAATGCCAACCCCTTACCAAGAAAAGCTGAGCCCTGAAGACTTAACTAGTGATATGTCTCATACTCTGATTCTGTCAAGTTCCTGTAGGTTTCAAGTGAGTAAACAAGTAGGCAATTAACCTTTCTTAAAGATAGCATAATATGGGAAAGTGTAGTGACACTGAGGGGATGCGGGTGGTGAGAAATTTATGGAAACTAAGAGGATATGGGAAAGCTAGGTGGAAAGAAACACTATGCTAGGGCAAAATTTCAGGTCATTAGTAGTTGCTTATTCCTGGACAACCAGTGTCAATTCAGGAACAAACTGTGCCTAAAGCCCTCAGAGATGTTAGCAGAGATTTTTATTAGACACATGTTGAAGTGACAATACTTTTTCTTGTTTTGATATGTTTCTGAAATGGCTTAAGGCTATCCACTTTATGCTTCTTTACACCTGCTTGAGATGTGAACTTGAGAAAAGCCAAGGCAGTTAACTGCCCTTCCTTGTCAGTCTTACGGTATGGTTTTCTTTCAAGTCTTTTCAAGTCCTTAGCTACAACACCCTAGCAAAGTCCAGAATGTAGAATGATACCTTTCCAGAGACCCTGTGAAGAATAAGCATGTACTCACTCAGAAGTCTTATTGGAGATGCTTTTCTTGCCGCACTCACAGTGGTGATGAACCGAGAGTAATTCATATCTATAAGAAAAGAGTCATTAGTCGGACATGAAGCTAGAAAAGTGAATAGGAGCTCTAGTACTTTTGGTATGTGCATCTCCCATTAGTAATGCTTTCAATTTCTCATCTCCTGAGATGTGCTCTATCATAAAGTAAATCTTAACTTATTCTTGTTAAGATCAATGCTCAAACTTACTTTCCTTTTTGAAGGAAAAGGTTGCTATTTCATACTTGGGTTCTGTCACAGCTTCCCAGTGGTGGTGAAGTCAGGCCAGATGCTGTTCTGATAAACACAAACAGCAGGATGGCTTTGATCTGGGGAATTTGCTGGTGTAGCAGTGAACAGGGAAAAGCCCTTTTGTCCTTCCCTTTACTGCTAGCTGTGGAGTTTTAAAGGTAGATTACAAATCTGAAGATCTGACAGATCTTAAATAACCACTGGATCCTTTTTAATGAGAATCCAGCTTTACTTAGCTATGGTAAGTGTTGCATTTCAAGCGCTTTAATGATTGCAAGCCGTCAGTATGAGGAGTCACAACACTCGTCAAGTTTGAGGTCTGGGGTTTTCTGTAAGGAAGGATAACTAAGAATTGGTTTCAAAATGCTTCGGGTAAGTGCATTCCCACTCTTTTCCCTGGTGCACACTGAACTGCAGTCCTTTGGGAAGCCTCAAGGCCTCTTCTCACAGGAGAGCGACCATCTTAACACGGAGGCACAGAATAAAAGGAACGGCCAAGGGGCCCGGTCACTTTGACTTCCAAGTGCGCTTCGACTGAATTCGCAAAAAATAATCCTCCAGCAACCACAGCAACTCGCGTGTGCTGGCAGTCGTACAAAAAATGATCTGTCGAGCAACACTGCTTCACAAACAACCAAGCAACCTCATGCTTCCTCAAAACACCG